CAAGAACTGCCGGCCGACCGACCACCGAAGTACGGCGCGCTCAAGATAAATAATAATGGCTCGCTCGACCGCAGAGTTTGTAATCCTCGTCACAAATGCAGCGCGTTTAGCTCCTCGCGTATGTAATACACACAAAGCGATAAATTGCACTCGAGGCCCCCGCAAACAACAATAATACCGACTCAATGGCCACCGCAGTTTAGCGTCAAAGTATTAGTTGAATGTCTAGCAATGGATAAGGGAGAGGATTTAAGTCAACCAGCTACACGAGAAGAAGCTGCGAAGTTCACTTTTCAAAACGACTCAACAATTTGAAAATCACATAATTATAAAAATTTGACTGTTGTAATATTTAATATAACTGAGTCTTAATTTAAAATTCCAAAATCATATCAAATGTTATGTATGGAGGCTGCATCGAATTAATTTCCATTTAGGATATTGCCTTCAAATTAAATCGAGAACCATTGGATGAAAAACTTATAATGAAAAATATTCCAGCTTTCATTTAAAACTTGTTTTGCTTTAAAAAGCAAATAAAATAATGTTATATTATATTAATTAGTAGCATTATTTGCAAAATGGAACTTGTAGAAATAAAGTTTTTGAAGAAAAATTAATCAATAATATATTATTTAATTATAATCTTCAGACCTTTGAAAAAAGGCCAATGAACAGAAATAACAAAAATATCTGCTCAAAAAAATCAATGTAAGTTGATAAAAAAAAATATTATTGAAGTAGAAAAGTGTTCGCAAACTAGAAGTCAATGGTGGGAGGCAAAGTCTGGCTGAGTAAAGGAGGTGCGAGGGTGGCGGAAATTGGCAATAAAAAATGCATTCCTGCTGACGTCAAACGGTCACCACCGCCTTTACAGCTCGGGTGGAAGTGGGTGTGCTTGTGTTTGGACAGGTGCATTCCAGAGATGCGGTCGTTGTCCGCCGGTGTCCAATGGAAATGGAATTCAGGAATTTCTAAGTGTCCCCTCTCTATCGCACCTTCCCCATTCAATGTAAAATTATGAAATTTTGATGAAAAGATATTGAAAATTTCAATTAAAATAAAGGTTCAAAATGGAAAAATGAAATATTCAACTGAATAAAGTTGCACCTGAAGAAAAATGAGAAAAATATTATTCCTAATTCTTATTATAGATATTTTGTTCAATATTTTCAAAATTCTGACATTTATTTTGAAAAACTAAAAGAAAAATGGTGACACTAAAAAATAGCAATTTACTTCGAGGACTTTAAGTACTTATCGATCAAGTCAATGAAAGATAAAACGAGAAAGTTTTTCCATCTTTGGTCGGTTGTGTAGATATGCCAGCAGCAAAATAAAAAGCAAACTTTCCGAACAACGGTCGCATTTGATCAATTCGGAGGCGCGCGCTAATGAAAATGGAGCTCTATTAGGAAAGTTGCGCGTTCGATTGCAGGTAGTGAAGTGGAAAACGAGATGATAAAAAGTTTTCGCAGGGTAATTTAATATGAACGCAAGAGTCGCGCGCTGTTGTTGCACGACATCAATTTATTTTCCATTTCCCTGCCGCTCTCGGAAAAAGGATAATTCTCCTGCGTGCGGGAGGAATTGAGCGCGCGCAAACTTGCATGCCGGCTATAATTTCGCGACGAAAATTTTATCCAGGCGACGACGACGGCGAAAACTTTATTTCCAGCACGTCACGCTGCTGGTTCGAATCAATGTTCTCTCGGCTCGCATGTCACAAGTGCGTCAAAATTGCTGAATTGCTGCGAGACTTGCGAATTTCACCGGGATGGGCACACGAAAGTTAAGAGACTTAAAGAAGAACGTGCCATTTTATGAAAGGCAGTCGGGCGCAAAAACTATATATTCGTCGATTCATTATTGAAATAGTGAAAATAGCTGCAGGCTCTGAAAACTCATAACTTATTTAGTTAGTTATTCAAATGAATAAACAAATGAACTGAAATGAGAATGTTTCGCTCTCAACAGATCTGAACAAAGTTAACCCTTGACCTTTGTATTTTTGAAATACATAGTTTAATCCAAAAACTTTAAAATAATCAGTTATTATAAATGATATTTTCTATAAATATATTAATAAAAATTATTTCTAATTTTGGGTTTAAAATTAAGTTAATTAAGTTAGTATAATTTCATCTCATTGACTTGCACAAATTTTTCTAACGAGGAGCTTGCGGCTTGTGGTACCTACACTGAAATTAAATTTACCGAGAACTAGAACTGAACATTTTACCAAAATATCAATGTAAATTTTGAGAACAAGAGCGGGACAGGAGCGGGATATTGTTTTTTCTAAAAAAATAAACATCTCTCAAAATTAATCGAGGAAAAGCCGATTTTAAATTCAAAACACCGTAAATTTTGATGTTGATTTCATATCATCATCAACGTGATTTTGGTAAAAATCATATCAATTTTGATTCCACAAAGTATTTTAGAAAATTTCCATCAATGTTAAGTTTCGAAAATCGAGTTCTCCAAAGGAATCAAATTTTTCTCATGATATCTTCTGGGAATCGAATGGAGAACAAATAAATAAATAAATTGGCATCTACAAAAAATAAGAATAATTACAATTAATAGGGCCGTATTTTTAGCCAAAGTCTCTCCTGATTCACATTTAATTGAATAGTTCGAGGAATAATTCTAGACATCAAAATTTCTCATTAGCGAACTGTCAAATGTCTCTTCTCTGCTCTCAATAATACGGCGAAATTCTAATCAAGAATCTCGCGTCACTCGGCGATGAAACTCGGCGCTGCAATTGTCTCTCGCGCGCGAGATGCGCAACAAAGGGAGCAAAAGACGATTTTTAAGTCGCAATTAGCGTAGGCGTGTGTGTGCTCGCGCCAGAAGGCACATATTCATGGCGCGCGGCGTTTGAGAGATGTCGTGTCTCATTATTATGCGGACATCAAAGCAGTGCACTCGACTCTTGACTATTTGCACGTGCGTCCCTTATCGCTCGGAGATGACGAACGGCAGGGTTATTGTCGTGTTTGCATCCCTCGGCGCGAGAATAATTATTTCGGCGACATCCAATTTCCCCGCAGTCAAATAATAATAATAATAGCGGCGCCGTGTGTTCCAAAACAACCCGAGATGACAGTGGAATTCCGCCCCGTCAGCAGCATTATATATATTTTCCGCACTTCGATCGCGAGTGGTTTGCGCTGTGCCGAATGATGCGCCGCAAAACAAATAACGCGGAACGAGCCGGCTCGCGGAAGATCGATTTTTATTATTTTGTGTGCGGTGTTTCGCACGAGGCCGAAAACAACACGTTCATGCAAAATTTAGGTTTTTATTTTATGCATGACGCAAGCACGAGAGACTTTATCTGCAAAAATTCTCTGAGTGAAAATAACAATTTCGGGCCAGCAAGCGCGAGTGAACCTCGGAGTGATATCTTTTTTCGCTGAAGAGAAGTGACAATTATCGCGAACGTGCGCTGCTTTTCCTATTTTGCGTGCAAATATACAGTGGCAGCGGCGGCAGAAGTTGACATGGGGAGAAGGGAAAGCAATTCTCTCTTGCTCTTTGTGCATACAAAACGTATAAAGCGCGATTTCAATTTAAAGTCGACGACCGAGTTGTTGACTCTTGGTAATGTGGCAGATTACTTTGCCAATTTCTGGAGGTAAACAAACAAACTCCATTGACTTTAAGTTAAATTAAAAATTGTTAGAAATGATTGGACAATATTGATATTTATGGAAACTTTTCTCATCGTTCCGAAACTTTTTCAAAAGCATTTGTCAAAATATTCTGCTTCATCTTGAAGAGATTTCATCCTCTTGAGGCAAATCTGAAGAGCTAAAAGCTTTTAGTGCAGGACTTTCTGGAAAAGAATATATTCGAGATTTATTTTTATGCACGAGCTAAGATTTTTCCGACTACTTAGACTCCTCTGCTTTTGGAAAAAAAATATCCGATTTTATCTGCGGCAAAACACGAACATACATCACGGGGCCATTTCCGCAACTTTTATCGCTCAATTTTGCACCGCGGGGAAAGATTTTCCCAAGGCGGCTTGATGCTGTCGAACACACGATTTCGTACATTTATAAAACTCTGGAGTGTTGCAACTTATATAAATATCGAGGAAGGCCGCGGCCGCTTCTTTGAGTCGCTTTCGCTGAAAAGTTTTCTTTGCGAGCACCACTCTCGAAAAGACCTATTGAGGAGTTATAATTGCACTCCAATCTGAATGTTGCATAGAGGCGCAGAAACTTTCCTTCTTTAATTAATAAGATCGGTGAAGTGAACTTGTGTTCTACTCAGAGCTTTTCTTTAGTATTTATATAATCGAAAAGCTTAAAAGCTATTATTGCTGAACCAGAAGTGCAATTCTTTACAATTAGAGCGAGAATGACCCATTCTTTGATGATAATAAATATAAATCAGATATAAATTTGCACTTTTATATTACTAAATTAATATTGGGGCTGTTTACAAAATTTAAAAGAGACCGAAAAATGTGTCATAATTTTAATTATATTAAAATGTAAAAAAAAAAAATTATAATCAACGGTTTAAAAAATGAGTACAACGGAAGCATATTTTGGATTTTCTGCTGCTCAGGATCGAAACATTTCATATCTGGATTTAAAGCTTCTATTTAACCAAAATACAATTCATTTCAATTGACTCCTGACTCCACAATAAATATGAATCAAAACTAAGAAAATTCATTTTCCAACGCGGAATTTTTTAAATTAATAAAATTTACTTCAAAGCTGTCCTAAGTTTTGATTAATTTTACAAATTTTAATTATCAAACTGCAAATAAACGTTAAAAATGCTAAAAATAATTAATTTTCTTCTTTGATTTATAACCGTTTTTCTCTTTCTGAATTAATATTTGCAAAATTTCCCGTTTCAATTAATTAAACGAACGTCCTAGGAGAATTCTGTGCAAACTTCCCAGACCGTTTCAAAGATCCATCACAAACAATTGCAGTTTCAAAGATGTAAAGTGCAGCACTTACCGTTTCTGGCGACAGAAGTGAGGAGCAGAAAGTGAACGAGGAGCGCAGCGGCGAGGAGCGTCATTCCGAATGCCGAGATCGGAGCCGCGGACGAAGAGCAAACTTTTGTTTCAGCGGAGGCGAGTTTGGTGCAGGCCGCGTCCTTTTTGTCTTTGGCAGAGGCGACGGACTCGCCAGGCATGCGGTCGCTTGGTCGATGGCTCGGTAAACTCAGGCACCGCGCCTCACTGAATGCATTATTTGCTCTTTCTTGCCCCAGTTGTGCGGGTGGGTTCGCAGAGGCCTTTGTTCTCCAAACGCGCGCCTTTGTCTCGAGCTGCTGAAACAGAAAAAAAAACATATAACACTCGTTAGGCCCAAATTGTTTCGTCAGCTCCTTTTTTTACTGCGCAATTCCTTTAAGCTTTTTAGGGGGAAATTTATTTTTGTACGGCGTTTGAATTTGATTAGAATAACTATTTAAAACCAAATGAGATCGCTCAGCTGAAAAAATTCCATGTGATTTTTTATTCTTCTTTTTCTGTTTGTCTACATATTTTGTTAAAAAATTTCGACCTTGGTGGAAAAATGTAAATTTCATCTACAGATTTTTGTACTGTTGCAATAAAGATAAGTTTTTTTTTTAATTTCTTCGAAAAAATTTGTAGCTTTTAAATTTCATATTTAATTTATTTGTGCGTTATTTTTCTTTTGATTTTTAAAAATGCCATCCTTTTGTAGGAAGAAATAATTTCAGAAATCCAACAAAAAAAGCACAATTTAAGTTCCAAATTTTTAAATTTTAACAAAAATGAATGTAAAAATGAATTATTGATTTTAATTTTATTTCGGAATTTCAATCAATGGTTTTGGAGTTGTTTATTGTTTAAGAAAAAAAAACAAAATATCCTGCTCTACATGTTTCTGCAACCATAATTCATGAGCTGTGAAATAATTTTGACAAGAATTAGTACAAATATAAATCTTTTTAATGACATTTTTCTTTCCAATTAACAATTGTTTGATATGAAAAATTTTTTAAAATTACAGTTCTACACAAAACAATTTTTAACTCAAATTTGGCACTGTTTGGCGCATGAATTTTTTTTTTAAATTAGTTTTTTATAATAATTTTGGTCAGCATAATGCAAAAAAATTGTTGATTAGATTGAAAAATAATTTTATAAGATTGATTTTTGAACTAATTCTTGTCAAATTAATTTCACAGCTCATGAATTATGGATGCAGAAACATGTGGAGCAGGATATTGTTTTTCTGGATTAATTAACATCTCACAAAACCCATTGTGGAAAAGCAGATTTTCAATTCAAAACACCTTAAATCAACCCTCGATCGTGAAATTCTACAAAAAAAAAATAATAAAATAAAACGTTTGTTCAAAATTATCCTCAGCTTTTATCATATAGTCAAATTGTATTCATCATCTTGTACCAGTTAGAGCAAAATTCGAGCTGTTTTCGATTAGGCTTTTAGAGCGATAATGACTCGTCCTCAAAATCTGTTTGCAAAGGGCATTTTCAGATCGACCCACTTTAAGCTGCGCTGTATGTGTGTCTTTCGTGGCGGAAAAGCAGCCCCGCCTGCTGATTTTCAGCTTGATTACTCTGCTTTTGAGCAGCGAGCGTGCCCGCCGCTTCCATCTGCCCAACCTTCAGCATTAATTCTCTCAAACGTGCAAACCTCGCTCTCCGTTCATCTTTATTCAAACACAAACATTTCGTTCATTATTTTGCTGAAAATGAAGCCGGAGAAAAAGAGGAGACTTGGTGGTAAAAACCACCGAGCTCCTTCATCGTGAACTCCTTTTTTATTATACATTTAGTATAATATAAACCGGCTCACGAGTCTGCGGAGATTTATGCATTCAAGAATCACCACCAACCCCTGCTTTTATTCTGACCACCTCGGCTGGAAGTTGCGCGTCATTCGTGAGCGGGAATAAATTTTCTGATTAAATAAGGTCATGTTCTCTCGAGGGTTGCAATGAATGGATTGTACGCGAGAGCCTTTGAGCAAACAAATACGGCACCCAGCCGTCAATAGACACACTCGTCGTATAAAGTGGAGGATCGACCTCAGTGGTGGAAAGTCGGCTGTAAATGTGCATTATGTGATCGGTTCGCCATAAGGTGTGCGCACAGGCGAGAGAGATGCATCAAGAACTCAGCTGCGAGCTAGTCGAGGCCATTAATTCACGGCAGAGACGGAAAACCTCTCGGAAAAACTCGCAAGCTATCAAATAAATGAGATGAAATATATAAAATGTGAGCGAGCGACGCTCGTTCATTCTCCGCGTGAAATAGACGCGCCACTCTCGCTCCCATGATGTATAAGGAGGAAAAGAAAAGTTTTGCGAGCAAAAGTTCACTCGCCCGCGGAGCTACTGCCTTTTTTTCATATCGTCGCGTGCAATTTTCACTATTGCCTCAGAGTGAATCGGGATGAGCTTTTTCCTCTGCATTACTTTTGCATCTGCACCGCGCGCTGGCTGTTTCTCTGTAAAAGCAAAATAATTGCAAAATGCTAGAAACTAATTTTCCAACTTCTCTCCTTTGACGCGCACCCTGAATTCAAGGCGACTCTCGCAAAATAGCCTATTTGTGTGCGTTGAGCAAGCGGCATCTGTTTGTGTTTTAAGCGAATTTAATTACACTTAAGCGGGTATATTAAGCTTTGTGTTGCTAATTACATATTGAATAGCTCTAGTTGCCAGACTTCTAATTACTTTTCCCAGAAAATATAATAAACTAGACTGACAATTGAGGGGAACTTTTGAACTGACTTTACCAACTTTATATTCAATAACAAGAATGTTGTTTTCAAGCAAATTCAACAAGTAATATAATAAAATTATGTTTTAGTAAACAAATAATTTACGAGTTTTTTTTATTTTTATATTTTTTGATCTTAAAATTTCTTGTTTTAATTCTTTTTATTTAATTCTTACATCTAAAAACAATAAAACAATATGTTAGATTAATGTGGAAAACAATATTCGCGCTAATTCTTTCATTTAAACAAAATATTATTATATACCCACTACACACAGCGAAAGCGACATGGAGAATTATTCAGTTATGTGAACAGGATGCTCCAAAGTATTTATTTCATGAAAAATCAGATTTTTTTTGTAAATTGTTCGCGATTCTTTATTCACAAAAAATCTATATGCATAGTACATACCCTCACTCATAAACATTTAATCTCACCGAGGATGACGCTGAAAAGAAACTTTGAGGAAAAGCACAAAAAATAAGCGCAAAAAATTGTCAAAATTTCTATGTAGCGTCTTCGGTGTGATTAAATGTGAGAAAATACACATGGATTTTTTTTTATTTTAATAAGCAGGAGAAGAAATTTGGCGAAAAAATAAAATTTTTCATGAAAATTAATGCTTCCGAGCGTGTCTTATGCCTGATGTTAACCCCAAAGTTTGTTTAAAAATGAATAAAAAGCGCGTAAGATTGACAAAAATCTGATTTTTCTTTGAAAATTAATTCTTCCGAGCTAGTCTTATATGCCTGATATTCGCCCCAATGTTTCTTTTAAGCGTCCTCACAATCAGTGATATTAACTGAGCACAAGCAAGGAAATGTATTATTTTTTTTAAATGAAAAAAAAGGGCGAAAAGTGGGCAAAAAATTTTATTTTTCTATGAAAATTTATACATCCGAGCCATCCAAAAATAAACTTTGAGGTGAATATAAGGCATAAAGGTGGTTTGGAAGTATTAATTTTAATAAAAATTTCAATTAGTTTTTTGCCTTTTGAACTTTTTAATGCTCGTCATGCAGCATTTGTACGGAGGCAGACTTGACGAGAGGCGAAATGGCTACACAGGAAAGAGGGTTGAGAAGACCAAAGGACGCTGCAGGAAGGCGACAAAGGACGCAGGAAAGAGATCGAGGCGCGCGTTTCGCGACTGCTCGCTTTTATCGCAGAGATAGAAAGGGCGGTCTCGGGCGCAGGTATATCAGACAGGCCCATTAAGTGCAGGGGTAGACCGCAACTCTCAGCCCATTTCTCTAATCCACGTCTTCTCGTTTCTGTGCCCAGACTCACTTCTCGCTGGCAACAACCGTAAAGTCGCATGAATCATGAATGCGAGAGAGCGAGCGAACACCACGCCTATTGCTAATTTACCTGGTGCCCCGCAAACAACGCTCTATTAAGTGGATAAGAACGGGCCGCCCATTAACAAAGAGATGCATTTGCGAAAGCCGCCCCCGTCGCTGACCCCGGAGTTACTTTCCCTGATTCGCATTCAGCGTGGGTGTTCCCGAGTGTGTGTGCTTCAATTAATTGCTCCGATGGATTTCCATTAATTCCCTGCGCTGGGTGGCCCGGATTTCGGTTCCTTTGCTCTCAACAACGGTTTCAAAGTGGATATAATAATTCATTTATTGGTCTCAATGATTTTGTTTGCCTACCTTTCACTTCCAACAATGAATGTAAACACGGAAAAATATATGGAATAAATTATTGGACTCTAATATTGAAGGAAAGGACAATTCTGATAAAAGGCAAAAATAAATAAAAAAAAATTGATTAAAAAGAAAAATTTGTTTGAAGAATTTGACACTCAAGGAGATGAACAAGGGCTTTTTTCTCATTGTAAAAAATTGTTTTTATTAAAAAAAGACGTCTCTGCCAGTTTTGGTTATAGTCTGTGACCCTATTTCATGATCAAAATAATAAAAAAAAAAATAAAAAAATTAGCAAATTGAAACTTAACTATTTGAAATTTGTTAGTTAAAAATACGGTTTTCTTCACATTTTGGGATGTTTTTTTTATTTGCTCCTGAAAAAGGGTAGAGCCATCTTGTTTTTTTTTTTTAATAAAAACAATTTATTTTAAACGAGGAAAAATTCCGAGTGCTTTTATACTTCCTAGAAAAAATTGTTTGTAGAAATAAATTCAACAATTTATGTTTATTCCATGTTGATGAAAAATTTCAGAATCAACAGAGAAATATTTATGTTTCAGCGGAAATCATCGATAAATATACATATGAAAATTTTGTGTGCCCGTTTATTTGTCTTCACACTTTTTAAAATGAGCAACTTATTTCTGGTGCTGGCAACTGTAAAGCACCTGAACCTTGAACTGCGCGAATTCTCAGAGGTAATAATAATTGCACAGCATTGTCAATAAATAAGTAATCAGTTTCCTTGAGCGAAAAGAGCAAACAAATAAATATGCAAGCAACACGGAATCCCTGCCAAGCTGGGAGTGCACGAGAGCGTGCTCAATTTGCAAATCCTGAGAGCCGCCGTCGCTCTAAAGTATTCACGCAGCTCGCTAAGTAAGTGCAGGGT